ATCCAGTTTTTCTGTTTCTATTTCTCTCCAAAAATAGCTCACTAAGCAACCCTCATTTGTCGAGATGACCATGACATTGAAAGAGCCATCACGACATACTATCAATGTACCCACCACATTGGATTTGCGACCACCAGTATTCCTGACCGGATCGCATGTTAGAATTGAATGTGTCAGCGACGGTGCCCTCCCCCCAATCCCTATTGCTTTCAGCATTGAGTGCCCCCCACCACCTACTGCCTTGGTTGAATTAGATCGAGTTGGGCAAGCCAAGCAGAATTTGCCGTACGAACGATTTTACCATACCTACGGGTTCCGGTCTCCTCCTACTTTGTCCGACCTGGCTCCATACGTCGCTCGCAAAAATGCCGACCACCTGCTGCGGCTGGGTCATGTGTTTGTGGGCAAGGACAACAAGACGTTGAGAGCTACTCTGTCAATCAGTCAAATCGCACATGATTGTCACGTCGTATGTCGTTTGGCTGGAAAGGAGACGCGCCGTCGAATGACAGTTTATTGTAAGTTTTTTCTTAGTGATTGATTACCCACATGATGCAATGTCATCCTCTACTTCTTTTTGTTTTCCTTCTAGGCATCATGAACTTAACGTTAATTCTCAATATTTTGTTCATGATATCCCATCACGATGATACGTGGTGTGATGGGTTGTGCATCTCTGTGACCCAACGAACTAAACAAGATGGCTTTTGTTGAGCCAAAAATCTAATCATGCCTGGAAGGTCAATGGGTAAAGGTCAGACAGTTCACTGGTAGTTCACCTAGGGAGTTGGCCAAAGACCCTGATTCCAAATCAACCATGAGGAGGCGTGTGAACCACACAACTTCCTGGTTGTGGCAGTGGTCACCGGCCCCATTGGGCATCGAGGTGTATTGGGCATCTTAGACGTCTGACCCCGTCCGGTGAACTAGACACCGGTCCCCAATAGATTGCGGTTTTTACACATCGTCCCGCTACCTTACCGGTCAGGCTTTGGCTAACCGAAGGCTCCGGTTATGAATTTTTGAAGAAAATTCACCTGACTTCGCCTGGACAACCTGGCAGTATCTCGCCCACATGCAAATCATGGAACGTTTTTCTTTTTCGTAAAGATTATTGTACCGTGATTTGTTTGGCACACAGTCTGGATTCAGACCTTTGTGAAAAATAAACAACAAATAGAAACTTTGCCGATCACTACCGAGTTGACAATATGTGCAAAAAAACACGAGTGGTAAGTGGATTGGTTCACCGTTCCGAGTGCTAATGTTTAGATTGCCAGTTCCCTAAACTGAGCAATAGGTTCTCGTAATTATGAGTTGTCCCTTTCTAACCAACTTCACACCATGGCTTGTCACGAAAGATATTGTTGGGCACTAGTTGTCTGTATTACGACTACATTGCCTGTCAAGTTAAGTAACTACCACAAATAGGAACGCACTCTCATGCAAGTTACTGGGCATGTTACTGCGATTGCTGTAACCCAAATAGGTGCATATTCCGAATAGAATTCTTCAGCCTCGTTCATGATGCAGAGTTACACATTTCTTATAGATACATATTGCTCATTTTTCCACTTACACATACTGCTTCTGTTTCTATCGGCTTGTTGCAAATGCAATGAAATCCTCGAAAGGACGGAGAACGTTTTGGACTAATGATATTTTGCTCCAAACAGTTATTAGTTTCGTGCAAATTGTTCTTTGGTATCTTTGCTAAACTTTATGTAAAAACCGTCACTGCATAGTTTGTTCTATGCGGTTGTTTATCTTACACTTTAATTCTTTGATTCGGATTGTTGCTAGTAGTAACGTTTGAAATCACTTCGAGTCTGATCACTAGGCATTTACAGTACCCTTAAAAAAAAATTGTGATTGACTGTTTATGTGACTGAATTCGTTTCCATTGCTCGGGTTGACTGGATTTATATTCACTTTTTTATCAAGCTTGGCAGTTTGCAAACAAATTTCCAAGCTCTGCGAACAAGCCGGAATTTAATAATCAATATCTATTACATCTAGGAGAGAAGAGAGATGTGTGTAAAACTACGTTGAATTTTCAACAAGAGGGAGAAGATAGGAAGCGGGGATTAGTCATTTGAAACGACTGCTACCTAAGCCACTGCTCTGTACATAAAAGAAGCCGGCCCGAAACGTTTGTAATTTTAGGATATTCCTGCTTGTGTTGTCTAGCTGAGTTCCCATGGCTTCCTGGGTTGAAATCAGGACCCATTTTGGATACACAGACCAAGAAAATCGCAGAGAACTTGGAAATCTACAGGACCACGTAACGTTTCGCATTGTTTTCGCATGGACTGCCTCAAAATGTAAGTCATTGGAGCTGTACGCTACTGATTGGGTCTCCAAGTTCCGAATAGGAGAACGGCCATTCAAGTGATGAAAGTGAATAAATAAAGATCGCTTCACTGAATGAGATTAGTTTAGTTTAGTTCAGTTCAGTTTTTCGGACCATGCATCTAGCACCTTTGTGCGACAGTTTTAATTACTGTCTTTAGGCTGCCCGTGTGGATAAAAGTGCAGAAGATTGGAATTTCGAGAGCAGAGTTAAGGAAAAGATAGAGGATTCATGTAGACCATGGTTGCAAGAATAATGAGTAGCTACACGAGCACCACTGTTTACGACATTCAGTCTTACCACTCACCTTCGTGGACGATCAGTAATGATACCCTAGAACGTTACTGGTTTTATCATGGCGGGCCATCTGTTTCGCAAAAGCCACAAGTGTCCGTAAAGAGTGTTGTGATGTACGCAAATCTGGCCCACCACTAGACGAGACCATCGCTTTCACCTAACTTCCCTACAGATGTACTCGTGGATTTACCAGGGCTAGAGTGGAATCCTCGAAAAATACGTTGAGCCGTTCTAGGGATGTCTGTTTACAGACTTCAGATTTCAGTTTTCTCTATAAAGCTGACTCATCTTTACACGCGAGAGTCACGGAAAGTATCATGCAGCTCTATCGTACAATAATACCTATTCTCAATAGAGTTACATCTGGACCGAAATCACTGCGTGGTACACCGCGCCGCATTTCACCGGGGCTTCGACACGATCTGCAATTTTTTCTATGAATGAAAGATTTCCATTTGCCACTATGGGCGTCTTTTCATTTATCAAACCGTCCGCTCTACCTGCGGCCGACAGTCGACTATAACCCTAGCATTGGATTAGGCTTGCGAAGATTGCATAATGTGTTCGGGCTTTCTTTGCCGTCAATGACAGTTAAAATAAAAAAGGAGAAAAAAAAGTATTTTAAGCTATAAGGTTATGGAGCTGGTGAGGTCTAAACACTTAAGACTATCAGTTTTGTCCCTGCAGGCCAATACTTACTCGACCGATATCGAAGTAGACACTATCGTTTTCTTCTTTTGGTCAACTTAAAAACTACTTTAATTGATTTTCAGGTTTGACGTCACCCACTTCCAACAGTTCCAATATTAGGATTGCTGCCTTTTTCATCATACCTCGGGGCCCAGTGCCCTCAGGGTTCATTCGTATAACTGTTTCGTGTATTGGCTAGTTAAACGCCTAAAATCCGTTCGGTTCGCTTTCGGGATGAGTAAGGTACATAGGTTACATAGAAGACTATCCTTTCCATTATTTTTCGCTGAGTACATCTCTTGAGAATCTTTTCCATTGTGCGCGGTCCACCAAATCGTCTACCATGGTAAACTGAACTGGTTTATGGCAATTAACTTGTTTCGTTTCTTTTCTTTTCTTTTGTGAAACAGATCCCACTACAACCGCTTATTTACTCCCGCGTCCACGCGATGGCTACGTGAATGTGGGATCCGAGATCACATGCCACGCAGATGGCTACCCACCACCTACCATTTCACTCCGTCTTTCTCAACCGCTGCGTCCACGAAAGCCCCTTTCTCCAGAAGAAATCGAGGCTTTACGGAAAGGAGGTCTGATACCCAAGGACAATGAGATCACGGACGTGATCAGTAAGGAAATGATGCTTGCCCAAACAGGATTAGACATTATCCCACAACAGCTCAATCCTTCCGGGCCGAACGAACCTAAAGAAGGCGAACCAGTTGCTTCTTCTGGCACGCTTCATCAAGTCCCGGTGGGTAATTATGACGGTTGGTTCAGCGGTCTGGACAAAGAACCGTACGAGGAAGCGTCTCGCATCCCTGGTTCCGGTCTTTCTGCTCTTCCACCTCACGGCCAACTTGGTTTGAATCCAAATGAATATAGTATACAAGGTGCCACGTTCCGTTTGGCACCAAATGCTACCCCAGGTGTTGAGCTGATGCTCACTTGTCTTGCTCGGAATACATTGCCCGGCGATACGAGTTTTCTTAGCCTTAATGGAACAGTGACCAGAATGCGATTTGTCGTTGCCGGTAGGTTGCACGAAGTGCGTTTTCCTTGGATTCCTCATGCGTTCTTGTTCCTTTTAACCTTCCAATGTTACTGTATTATTAACTCGCAAACAGCATTTATTGAATAGCATTAGGGAAACGAAAGGGATGGAATGCAAGTGCTTTTTGTCTTCGCTTTTGTAGTGGAATTTGCGCCTGGTATTCCAATATCGAAATGTTTCGTGTTTTCAATTTGTGTGGATGGTTTCAGTTGTATTTGACGAGTGACAACCCACCATCGTGTTGAATTTTTATCTACTCCGAAAACCTCAGTTGTTTTGGAGCAATCGCACAAACCGGGAATCAAATAAACTCATGCTTGTCGTGCATCAATTATTTATTTATTCTATCACTGAAATCTCGAGACCAGTTACCATAAACAATCGTTTACATCTTGTTCAGAAAATAATTCAGTTTTTTAAACAAGTTCTGTCTTCTTTATCTACTAGACGATCTACTTCATATTGTTCACCACTGTGTTATCACTCGTACAGAATGTCACTCCTTTTAGGTGTCTTGACCTAGATCTCATTGAGAGAGACCATCGGGAAACTCCAGTTGGCCTGACGTTCACAACGTTTTTCTCTTGCGGATAGTTCTGCTGTGGTTGTTTCACGATGCAGCATGCAGTTTCAGAAAGGGCATAAGTTTCCTTGTTTTCGAATGTTTCACCTTCGTCTACCGTCATTGACTATCCTTCAACATTAACCTATTTGTCCTTCGGTAGTTTTGTTCGTCACACCTACGCACTTTGCGTCGTTGCTGACCGCTGCCAATCGTCGATTGATCCAGTTGATCGATTTGGTAATGCACCATTGAGGCCGGTTTCTGTTGGTGCGAAAAATGGGTCACACGTTTAGTTTCTTAGATGTATGTATGTGCGTTTTTGTTTGTATATTCTATTGTGGTTTTATTGAGTTCTTTTTGCACCGTAGCCGTTTCACTCCAGTTTCCCGTACAAGAACCTCATCCATTTCGTTGACGCGCGCTTAGCGGACGGACATCACTACTCCCGTCGTCGCCTAGCCATCGTCAGCTGCCTTTCATTCCTTCCCAGGGCGGTCTTCCTTATTGATTCTCGTGTAATTTATACTCACAAATACCTCGGCAACAACTAACATTCTTTTCATCCTGATTTATTTTTTCGACATTACCATCATTCGATTAGGTCCAGTTTTAGGCTCATTCCTGTTATATATATCATAATAAGTAGTATGTGAATGACTGGAAAAAATTTCCCTGGAAGAACACAAACAAGGTTGTGACGAAAATACACTTCCTGGGTGCAA